AAATGATCATTTAGAGAATGATATTAATAGATATTTCATTTGATCCCACCATATTATGCTAATGTTACTATTAGGTGATCATAAAAGGGATCTAAAACTAAGTCGTCGTGCTTTCGAAGAGAGGAAGCTTGTCCTGTGTATGCTAATATGATCGATGAATAAATCACAGTACGCATGCTTATTTCTAACGATCTAACAGTAAATGACCAACATCAACAGACAATGCCTCACTTCCTGCACAATAGATAAATATTTCATTCCTATTTTTAGGATGTATTTTTAGTGAAAATAATTGGAAAACATGTATTTTGGTGAAGTTTTACTCGACTTTTTCTTCGCTCTTCAACTTTAGATGACAAATTTATATAGAAACCAATATGATTTTTATATAGTCCAACAAATGATCACTATATGCTTCCTTAAGGTATATCCAACCCACAGTTCAAATCTACAAATATTGGCGTAAAATTGTGTCTAAGTATATAAATGTATGTATGTATACCTATTGTAGGTAGAATCACACCGCCAAGGGAAATCCATGCGCGTTGACAACTGAGGGATTTCATGTAATAATCTAAAAAGTAATTGAGATTTACAGTTTTGACAACTGAGGGATCATTTTTTATCTAGGATGCACCAATGCTTTCTCAAGGGCCAGTGACTTGGTGCTCGGTGCATATCGAAGAACGACACGACACGTAACATAACATTGCCAACATATCAAGAGGCGTGTTCAAGCTATTTATTTGGTTGCAATTCAAAGTATCAAGGAACATACATTCGATTGGTCCCTAAGGGCGAAATTTCATACTTTCCCCGCATAGTAGACACCTATAGCAACCAAACTATGATCACTATTGTTACATTTCAGCAACCAAGCCTCTAATGGTCGCTGGAGGTCTTTAGCGACCAACATTTATATTTTAGCGGCCAAAGTTATCTTGTGGTACCAAATCTATGGACCATGAAAAGAAGTACTAAGACTACAACTGAAATCCAAACAACCATGTCTGATCAAGAAAATATACAAACAAATTATATTATAGACTTTTCAATTATCCTATGAATTATTAATCGTTTTGAAATATGACAAAATCACAATAACTTCAAGATCAACTACATCAACTCATTTCATCCCTTTTGAAATTACGTAATTTACTAAGTTTGACCTTACGTGCGGAATTATACAATTAATAAGCAATAAATCACTTTTAATTATTTCTAGATGGTTAAACAAACAATCCAATTATCTTAAGTTGAATTGCCGTAGTTTGTAATAAGAAAACAATAAATAACACCAATATTGATGACAGAGAAAATCAATTGGGTAAAAACTCTGTGAACAAACCAGTTACCTGCACTATAGACAATACAGATTTACAGTAAGATACTGCCTTGCCAACTCTACTAGACTTCCCGATCTAATTCATGTAACCTCCAAGATTAATTGAACCCACCAGATCCCGATCTTCTACAATTGTCTTTTCTAAGTGGAATTTCAAGAACTCTCTGTTCTTGTATTTTTCCTGCGCTTGTAGTCCAACATTACTCAACCTCCAACAGCCTTTGAAATTCAAGTGAGAAAGTACATTCCTAAGGGTGTTTAGGAAGTAAGTGTTTTGGATTCAATAGATTCGATATTTTTCTCCCAATCTGTGGTTGTATCAATACATGACCAAACTCTAGAATCTTCAAAGAATAATATGGAAGTGTTATAGAGAAGAAGCACAATGAATAACCACACCAAATTTCGTGCATAAACTTGGGCATTTATTGGAGAGAATAATTAGGTTGAATCGGCCGGAAAAAATACTTCAAAACAGCAAATTAGGGCTTTCCGGATCGACATGTCGCTCAAGCAAGGGCTCAGCAACAGGCGAGCGACGCATTGTCACTCGAGTGAGAGCTCGACGACTGGTGGGAGAGAATATTCTGTTTTTGTCACTTGAGCACCAACTGGGCGAGAAGCTAGCGAAAATTCGACACCGTGTTTCTCCACTTTTCATACTCGAACCCTAGACCTCATAACTCAATTTATACTAATTGCACCCTAGGTCATTGACTTTTACAACACCTTACAAATTAGTCATTTTGTCCACAAAATTGTCAACACTAAAAATCTATCACCTTTGTTTGTTAACTGTTGGGTTTTGATACTCAATAAATTCGGGTGATGAATTAAAACGGATGACAGATAATTTATCAACACCATAAACTTGGCTCGACCCAAAAATGACCAACGCTTTTGGAGGCCCAAATTTGAGTTGGAACTTGGATATTAGCCCATTTATTTGGTTAAGTGGGAACCCATTTATGGAGGTATTACTTGGCCCATGTTGAAGTTCAGGCCCATTTATCTAACCTAATGGTTGCATTTGTGCGCAGTTTTGTGTGTGGTGTGGTTGTGTATTGTTGCAAAAGTGTGGAGAGA